CACCAAATGGAAAATTCCATGGCAAAAGTGTACACCGACATCGAGGAGCCTTCCGTTGCAGATCTAATGATTAGTGAATAGTGATATTTTACGAATAAAGGAGATAAAGGAAAACGACAAATAATCGTGTAACGATTATTCTCTGGTTAGGAACGTAGATGCCGTCTCTGTCTGTTCTGAGATGAGTCTTAAAATCAATCGTGCTCGATTTTGATTCGAAAAAATGTTCTTGTCGCAATGAATTCTTTTTATTATTCCACTCGGAATCAAAATTCTCGCCTAGGCTAAATTGCGAATTTTTAAAAATTAATCATATACAGCTACTAATCTTACGTCAGCCGCACAAATTGTCTATGGAAAATGTACGCGCGTACGATACAGTAGTACATACATCTTTTTCTTTAATTTATTAATAATCGTTGCGACTTCGCATTAATCGATAATGGTGTTTCAGACGCCAATTATCCTTTTAACTATGAAGCTGGGCCAACTTTTCGTGAGATATGTCTGTTGAGAAAATATATCTTAAATGTAGACACTATTAGAAAGACTAATCGCTAATTCCCCCTGGCCCATACGAAGCGGATGAGTGAAGCCGTATAAGTTTTACACGTAAACAGCATATTCCGTATCTGACGTATATAATTGTCGTCGAGTGAAAAAAATAAATTTCTTGCCGTAAATTAGATGTTTCTCCGTGACGGATAAGCGGCAAGGATTTCTTTTCTCTTTTTCATTTATACTCTCGGCATTAATTACCGAGAGAGTTTAAGAGATCCTTGTTGTGGGTTTATAACCTGTACGATCCTTATTGTTCACATTTCAGCTTAAGCAGTTTGCTTATCTTACCTAGTCGCATATCATCCTTTTTTTGTAACGGAAAACTGTTTTCCTAAAATAACGAATTTACGCGTTCGGTATTGGGTTCCAGTGTGATTGTGTAAATATTTTCTTTCCTTGTCCCTCATGTTTGTTTATACCAGTTACGGTCCGGTTGAGCTTAGCATCGTCGTTCATTGTAAAAAAATTAAGTGTAAAATCATTGGCTCGTCGTTAGGAAATTTTCTTTTTCAGAATTTTCCTGTTTGCTCGACGACTGACGTGCCAACGGCAAATATTTGTATTTCAAGTATCGATACTCGTTAACCTTCACAGCATTCCCCTCTTTACAATGCACGAACGTACTTAGCCTAATCGAACCTTTATATCTAACCCTTTTAGAAGCACATCAACGACACTAAATTCATCTACCTACTTGGCAGTAAAGTCTTCGTCATTGACTTAATTAATTATTTCACCATCCGCCTACAATCTCTGGCGAAGCTCGACCGGGCGAGTAAATCCGGATGTGTTCGTAAGCACGGCCATATTTTTTATATTCGATCGACTCTACGTCGACATTAGGATTATAACCCGACTTCAGCTCTGCGTCCACCATAAGAATTCACCAGAAACGTTGTGTGCTGTTCCATAAATTCTTGAGGCTGGATCGAAAGTCGAACCGGAAGTTCTGGTAGTATCACGCTATGTTACTTCCGCTCATAGTAGTAACACATTTCTTTTCCGGTGTATTCTGACTCTCGGAGTTACTCCTGACAGCTTTTGGTGGACTTCCCGGTGTTGGTGTAACATCGCCCGGAAGTGGATTATTATTATTGGTCGAGGTAGAACTTCTCCTGCCGTTTTCCCTGGTCGGCGACTTGACATCGAATACCGATGTGTCCGACTCGATGTCCGAATCGATCTGAAAATTGACATATATCATTTCCTGGCGGATGTAAATGGAACTAAAATGAAACTACAGCGTAAACTCGTCATGCTTTAGTAACGCGCATGCGTATTACATGAATATGCGTAGTGTCACGCGTTAGGTGATAGAAATGAGGATGAGATGATGCTATACCTTGTTGAAACACACTACCTGTCTGGTAGCGGGATGAGGACTGAGTGAAAGCCTTTCACTGGTGTCGCTACCGCAGCTTGAACTTTCGCTCATCTCCGTGGTAAATTTACGAGAAGCTCTTGGACTCGGTGGTGCAGGTCTGCTATGACCTCCTAGATTCAGGCCGACATTCCTTAAGCATACCTGGGACTGTATGTGCTCGCAGACACGTCGGAACCGTCTTATGTTGCCTGGGGAAATTAACGATTGATATGCTATTAAACGAAGCTTCGTTTCTGCTCCCTGGTTAGTTGACAGCTGAAGAGTGACAATGTATATAGGGATAATGGATCTAGTACAGGGGTTAGCTATTAATTGTAAGACTCTAACTCTACGGTCCGAACAAAAGACTCACGGTCGCCGGCAGAACGCGGAGGAAGAGCTTTCGCGATGAAAAAAGAAAAATATACAACGTATTTGGTGTGTGTGTGTGTATATATATATATATAAAGTATGGAGTATGCATATACTGTAGTTATGAACGTGCCAAGGTAGCATCGATCTAGTTGCGCTTGGATGACTGCCAAATGCCAAACACCAAACCACCTGAGCTTGCTAACTAAAGCGTACACTCCTTCGTAAGGAGCTTTGCATTCTTGGTCACATCGTAAACTCGGCCTAGCCGTGTCTTCGACATTTCTAATATTGCTGTAAAATCGTAATTGTGATCATAGCGCACAAGGCCTTGTATATATTAATGTATATGATAATAAGTGTATACAATATTAATATTGCGCGCGCTATTTCTTATATATTATGTTGGATATATGTTTTTAGTAATGAAACTTCTCAGTGTAATCTGAACAGTTATTTGAGATTCATTAGTGTGAATGGTTATCAGAAATATTTATCGCCTTAACCACTTACCACTGAGAAGGGTGAAGGTTATCGCGAACAAAGGTTCATTGGGCTGTTTCGAAATAGCACTGATGTCAACCTGAAACCTGACTTGTCTCTGGAACATGGCTGGTGCGGTACTTCCTCTTTTATATTCGACTCTAAAGGACATTGGCGAGCTGACACTGTGAGACAATTCGGCTATCTGTAAAACGGAGAATACCACGATTCATATATTAGGATTAATTTTGGGGGTGTCGAAAAAGGGGGAAAAAATAATGAGAGAAAGGAATCTTTTTCTCTTGAGTAGAGTTAACGAGGTTTTGAATGGAAGTTCATCAATTTTTTTTTCATGTTTCTTAGATAGAGTCCTCCTAACGCTAACTAAATATGCGAAGCTTAGCTCTTGGCGTTTTCAAAGTTCGAATTTTTATATTTTTCAATATTCTCACTTGAAAGAAAAATTATTTTATTTAGGAAAGTCTCAAAGGTCATAAAGTTTAGCCCGTATCGAGCTTAGATGGTAGGTCGTTCAGAAAATAACATCGCTTTGAGATCGATCGATCGAAGATATAAATCAAACGATAAAAAGGAGATACTTACCGATAGAAATGCATGTATCAGATCTGCCTTCACACTGGCTAAAGGTTTCCCTGTCACCAGAATCGTAAAAGTCTCGTCCTTCTCTGTAGTCATGAGACTACCGAACCAAGATTTCTTGGTGAGTTCTGGCGAGGAGTCCGGTGTGAGGTGTACCTTTAAAATTGTGAATAAAATAACATTGAAAATGAAAACACTTCTTAACCTAGGCATACTCGTAAGATAATTAGCAAATATTTGTATCAAACTAAAAAAAAATATATCATTTACCTCCTCAGAACTGGTGAGCAGTTTGCGTCTATGAAATCTCGGACTTCCCAAGAAAGAATTCTTAATGGTGGTCAGACGTGATCTCCAATGATGGGCACCGGATCCTGCACCCGTATGAGGAGATCCTGGCGGTGTAACGCCAATAGCAACCACTGTAAGTATTCGGATTTTCCGAAAAATTAATTTCTCATCCATTACATTTTATTTTTTAATTTAAAAAAAAAGTCAAATAACAATACTGCTCTAAATATTGTACATGCACATTCAGATGTACGCTCGTCTTTTAAATAATGACTCTAGTACTTTTTCTTGTTAGTCGCCATTATGGGACACGCGTGCATTTTTCAGAAGCACTGAAATATAAAACAGCTACTCAGACGTACAGTAGAGAGTCGAAATGCCTGAAGCCAGAATTTCTCCTTGTATGCACAAAAGTACTGAGGATTTAAAGTGAGTTTTTTTTATGTTTCACGATTTAACGACGTATCCTAAATTCTCTATAGAAACAACGCAGGATTATCCACAATTATTCCTGCATATTGAAAATTGAATTTGATTCCATCCAAGGCATTACTGTAATAGAATTACAGTTTCTTCTTTGCTATTAAATCGCGTAAACGAGAAGAAGGAACCCAAGTACGCTAGACTGTTTGTTGAAAATCCTATTTAAACATCGTCGACAGATACGGGAGTATAGGAGTAAACACGAAGACACTTAGCGTAATTTGATAGGTCGGTGTAGGGTAACTGTTTATGGGGTAAGTTAGCTTAAGTGGTAGATCAATGCGATCTATTCTGTTTCTACGTGACGTAATAACCGACAGCATACAATATAGCTACTCGGGTTACTATAAACGACTGATTAGCATATTAATCAAATATATTGTCTGCGATTCGCAATCATATGAAGGATATTAGCAGTTTAATCCATAGTATTATAATTCTCATTAAGCATCATTAATGTCATCAGGTTTTTTCATCCTTATGTATTTAACGTTATATAAACTTTTAAAAGGTGAACCACTGTCGCTATACGTATACGCAATTTTTAACAACTTCTGTTCAAGGATCAATTTTACTATTATATAAAATCTCACGCTTACCTGGCTGAACTTCATTTAATTCTATGCCAACGCTGGCCAATGGCGGTATAGGAGCTGGGATTCCTTGAGCGGGATTACTATTTCCGCCACTGGTACCAATGGTGGACAGTCTATGGGGACTTCCGGTCTGAGCTAAATGAGAGCTTGGCACAGCTCTATGAGGACTAAGGAGTCCAGCTACATTCGGTGCATGAAGTGGAGATCCACCCGGTGTCGACGTATGGGAATGTGAAGCATGACTATGGGAACCCGTACTTGGTGAGCGTCTCGCATGGTGTCTCGTGCTGTAACAATTGATTAAATTAAAGAACTCTCTAGGGAATGTTCAATTCGTCGATAAGGGTCATGCGCGCGAGATACAGAGTGTTACGAGGTAGGGAGTTAAACGTGTAAATTTACATAGCTCTTGTAAAAAGGTCTCTTCGGGGGCTCCGAGAGAGATGGGTATGTTAGTCGAGCTCTCTAGAAAGAATTTGAAATTCTCAAGGCCTGGAGATGCGAAAGTTTTGTGAAGTTTCGAAACCGGAAGTCGAAATTTATTGCGGATATATTTACGCACCCGTAATGTAAGTATAATAATTATGCGCATTAGCTAACGGGTAGCAAGAGGCAGTAATAACAAGTATGCGATTTTGTGCACGCTAGTAGCCAAGGAGGGAATGCGTCACGCGAGTTGAAGTTACTTCACGTAGCCATTAGTGTATATATAGTCACATTTTAAGTAGTTCTGTCTTCGCATAAAATTGTAGAGGTACGTCGAGTTTCATGACTCAGGAATTCTTTGAGAAGGAGAGTGCCAAGATAGAAGTTATAGGATGCCATGGGGATCACTGCATGTAATGCATTGTAATGTAAGTTAAAAAAGAAAAAAAAAAAGAAATCTGATTCAAACTTAATATACTACCCTGATACTCAAGTATACAATCATAAGTTTCTAGACCTAAACAAGGGAATTCTACCTAGATTGCCTCCTTGGTGTTAAAGGTGACCCATGACTGATTTGTCCCAGATTCAATGCTGTACTTCCGTTGACTCTGCAAGTGTCTACTCGCTTCCTGGGTGGATCAGCTTCCAGTTGTCCTGCAGAGCCTCTCAAACCACCCCTCATGACTTCCAGTTCATCCTCGCAGGCTGGTCTTCTGCGTTTCCTCTCCAGAAGTAGGAAATAAATAACCTTTTCCGTATTGTGACTAAGAGATGAAAGAGAAAAGATAGTCATTAGGTTAATGAACACACAACAAGCACTGAGAAAGTTCTTACGTATCAGATGATCTCTCAAGGAATCTCTCAAGTTCTTAAAAAAACGGGCTCATGTACCAAGTTCTATTAGCGATCCATTTAGGGGTGGCTAATGTCAAATCGATTCTCTTCTTTAAGGTCGACGAGTCATGCGTGAACGATATCATTTACAGAAGATGAAGCTCACACTTGGTTAACCTTACTTTGGACTAAGAAGTTCCTGGATAAGTTTATCCCGCTCCTTGAAACATCCCAGGCTGGCGATTGCCTGGAGCACGTCGGGATCGATGGCGTCCACGGACGGAATCACGTGCGTTTGCACAACGTCCATCATCGAGAGCTCCAGTTCCAATTCACCTTTACCAGCAGCCGTTACCCAAATGTGCCTGTTGATCTCAGCCAGCTGAAAGCCAAGCATGGGACCAGTCGGTTGGAAGTGTTTTCCGTAAAATGCGGTGACTCAGTTTGACAAGAACAAAATAAGGGAGGAAAGAAAGATTGATTGAGAAGTATCGACTGTCGCGACAACACATAGCTCAATGCTGATGGGTGTAACACTATTTTCATATAGGACTTACCGTTAATCTCTTATCTGGATTGACTTCGATCATCCCTCTCAGTAAATTCTGACAGTCCGGTGGTACAAAGTGCGGTATGTGAAACACACCCCTTTTAACTTTCTCTAAAAGCTGTCTAAGATTATCGTCGTCAAAGGGTAAGGCGCCAACCAAAAGAGCGTACAGGATAACACCACAGGACCAAACATCCGCTTTTCTACCGTCATATTTTTCACCCTGAAAATCAAACAAATTGATATTTATTTGAAAACAAATTCATTAATACTCATCGTTCTTTTCACGCTAAGACGTAGCTAAGACGTATGTACAAGTCGTCACACTCAATCACGGAAAATCTTTACCCTTAATCAGACAATCACTGTGTCTATTTTCTCTGGCAACACATGCTCCATATAATATATACCCAACAGGCATTCAAGTATACATGGATTAGAAAGGTCTGTGAATTATTCCAAAATTCCTTGTAAACTTCAACAGTATAAACACCAAGGAGCCCCTATCGAATTGTCAAGTATCATTATGCGCAGGCAATTATATTAAATTCAAGTGTTGATACACAAAAGACCCCGTTCTCTTAGAAAATTATCTCAGACACTATTCAACCCCACTGAAGCCTTTCTTCCCTGTCTACATAAGATAGATACATTGAATCGTAAGTCATCGATATTAAATTCCATAGACGTCGCATGACGTTATTGATTTTATCATGAGCAAAGTCAATGGACGGTCTGCGTGTCCGGTAGCCATTTTCCGTACAGGTACATCATTAATTATACTACATCATAGATGCTACATATTCCGATAGCAATCACTTACTCTAATAACTTCAGGACAGGCGTAATGAGGGGAGCCACAGCTTGTCTCCAGCATTGAACCGGCTGGCTGTAGGGATGCCATGCCAAAATCCGCTATTTTAATATTATTCTTCTCGTCCAGTAAGAGATTTTCGGGCTTCAGATCACGATGACTGCAAAATCAAGTGGAAGGAACTGATATTGAAAATAATCATTGCTTAGGTATTACATATACATGGTCTTGGGAGAGTCCGGTTTTCATTAATCGATCGTCCTTCCTCAGGGCTCTGGGACTTCACCGTTATCAATTCGCTATTCTTTTTACGCAACGATAAGAATTTCCATCGTCAATCTATTGGACTGTAGACCAATCTCACGGAAGGATCGATTTATATTTTTTAACTGCAACACGTCCTCCGTACCGTTCACGGAAAGACATTGCTCGTGCATAACCTTTTTTTGCAAGCTTTTATGCATATTAGTATACGGGATATACCCCTGATCAAAGTGCTATTTCCTGATTCGCTAATCAACGATATCAAAGGGGATGGTATGACGTTGCCTTTAATTAAAAGAAAATATTCTGTCGCAACTATTAAATTCATTTGATGTCAAGGACCTCGTCAGGATGTTTTAGTTACCAGTGATACCGAATGACTATAACGTGAGGTCCTTGAACGTCATTCGTTTTATTTAATGATTGTACCTCAATGATTTTATGGTAAATATATTTGCAATACAATTTTGGGGATTTTTCAAAATCCAGTAAAATCACAGGGAGATGAATCTGATATAATCGTTAATTATAAAAAGAATCGTATATGCGATGATGCTGAATGAGGTTACGTGAAAATAATTCATTCAAAGATGTCAGACTTAATGACGCGAGGAACATTTAATTACCGTATCTGAAATATTCGCTCGCTTCATTAGCGCAATTACAGTAAATTAACGGAAACGTGTGATACAGGGGTGGTTCTCAGAAAAAAAAATACCATTCTTAAGCCTCAATAACTCGGGGTCACTCGGTGGAAGAAACGAGAAAAGTTAAGAATGAAACTTGAAAAACTCTCTCCCTAAGCATGGTTGGAATCAGGAAAAATGTTGAAAGAGCTATCTATATGTATATATTAACCCCACATACTACGGAGAAAATAGAAGTTATATACTTAAAATCTATATATAGAAATTTAAATATCTCGTGGAAATATTGCAGAGCGAGATGACTCAGCGGAGTTTTATGCGCAGAATGTCGATAAAAGGGTCCGTGCAGGTTCCTGCCAAAAGCTCAGGTATCACCCAGTATCATGGAGATGCAGACGAAGAAGCGAGGAGAATATGATCGCATGGATTTTGAATGGGAAAAAAAGCCAATAAATCTTGTGGTACGCGAAAGTCAAGTAGATCCATGGTATAACCCAGAGGAGGCATTTAGAGAACACAATGGGACGTAAGGTGCATATGACATTTCTAGGACCGATGACGTTTTACGAGGGTAATAAATTATATTCCCTTCGATATAATGGAAAGGACCTTCTCTTGCTTTCCATTCGCCAGATTGAATCTATTTTCGTATTTATTCAATTGGGGTAGCTCGCTCCGAAACAGTTTGCCAACTAGGTCTCCTTCTGCCGAACCCCTTGTATACGTCTGCTTTGTTTTACTTTCTTGGTCAAGAGACAAGAATAGAGCCTTAACCCATTTAGAGGGTATCCTGGGTTTGAAACTCGTGGTGGAACGAGACGGCACTCTTGAACAGATGGATAACGAGCTATTGATTCCCTTCCCGTTATCGATTATTGGTACCTTCTCTTCGTCGGAATGCCAGCACGTGTCACGCACCCCTAACGTCTGCGTGATTGAAAACCAGTGGGTTACACAGATGAATTTTTATCGCGACAGATTCTGAAGAAGACGATACAAAAATTCGAAGAGGTCAAGTACCCTTAACGCCAATTTTATTCGGGACACCTGAATTTCTATATAGCAGGAGACTGTTAAGATAAGCTTAGGAGGGTCGAACCCCCAGATTTACACAAGACTTAACGCCGATGATTAAATCGTGCCAGGTTAAAACTTACCATATACTATGACTGTGGCAAAAGTCTAAGGCTGAGACGATCTGTCGAAAAAAGCGTCTGGCTTCCTTAGGGGTGAGTCTACCCTTTTTTACAAGATAGTCGAACAGCTCACCGCCCGATACGTGTTCGAGAACGAGATATCTGAAAGCGATGAAAAAAAAAAATTAATAAACCGTTAAAGTCGGTTTAGCCCTTAAAGTCTTGCAAGGGTTTCTCTCTCTCTCTCTCTTTTTTTTACGAAGGGTGTACAAGTTTTCCCCAGATGCTTCTTATGAATCCGTCACTTCCGTCCGACAGTCTTGACGACGTGTCGCGTTCTTTCACCCTGAGCAAACTTTAACGGAAATTGGAAAGACGGGCTTCCCCGCTGTTTCAAAGTACACGGGATTAATCCTCCCGGGAAGGTGTTTGAACACCCTTAGAAAATTCGTAAGTGTAACCCCTTTTTCTTTACCATAAGGGTTTTTTAATACAGGTCAAAACTTGACTTTCCTGACTATACTTACAAATACTTCTTGTTCTCGTACACGTCCGACAGCCCTAATACGTGAGGGTGGTCGATAAGCTTCATAATGGCGATCTCGCGTTCCACCTTCATCAACACGGACTCCGAGAGTTTTTCGCGGTTGATGATCTTGATCGCCACCTTCTTACCCAGCACGCAATGGACCCCGAGCTTGACTAGACCTATAAAAAAAAAAGAAATGCTCTATCGTCACAAACTTGTTCATTAAGTTAAGGCCATTTAAGATGCTGTAATTTGATTGATGACCAAAGTGTGAGAGCGTGTTTTACGAATGTTAAATGATTATTCGAAATGGGAGTGATTGTACGATGATAACTATTAGTAAATCTAACCACAGTAATTTCATGAAAGATCATCGATCGTTCCATATTTCTTTTTATGTAGAAAATCTGTAATTGACAAAATTAATTTTTATCCACTTTGTTAAGTCTTATGGCATTAACTTTATCGGGGTTGACGTTTGCGCTGTAAGGCTTTGAGGGTGTACTATGGGAAATTTCTCGCGAATGATACACCCGGAGGATGAGACAAGAAGTGTCGGCATGTAAAACGCATAGACGATATACGATCTTTTGAAGTTTCATACATTATGTTTCCCCTATATGTGGAAAGAGGGTACAGGCATAAGGGTTTCTGTATGTTAATATTATATACAGTATGAGAATAGTTAATGCTAATATGGAAAACGTGTGGATAAACTTTAAAGGAAACTAGCTTAAGGGATCATCACAGTGTAAAATTTTCAAAAAATCGATTTTTTTTGTTACATTATCTGATAGTATACACGGTTATAAACATTTTGACCAATTTTTATGTCGAAATTCGAATTATTTCCGTCGCTACAGCCTTTGTTAGAAAAAGGGATTGGAGGGTCTGACCTGGCGCACTCCGAACTTTAAACGCGTTTTTCTCGGAATGGTGTTTTTAAAAACGGTGGCCACTCTCAAAGGAAGAATTTTTAAGCTATCCATTTGAAATTCTAACAGAACATTCTTCACGTCATTTCTTATGTTGCTATGGAAGCTTTTTTTTTTGAAATCTTCCTATTTTGTTTTACGAAAAACTGTCGAAAACAAAGACTAAATTTTATACGTGTTGTTCAAACCGACGCCATTTTTTCAAATTTCACTAACAACAAAAAAGCCTAGATAGGAGCATAGCGGCTTTCCTTCAGATTTATAAACCATTTGAAATTTTTGTTTGAGGTAAAATTTGCGCCCGCAATCCTGGCCACCATGGGACACCATTTTTTTTCCATTCAATTTTCCACAAATAAAAACAACGTTAAACAATACATAAAGAAACTTAAAAAAATCATTTTGTATACTTCATAGGTGCTTTAATTTGTAAAAAAAAAAATTAGACCGATTACCATCCACCTAAAAAAAAATCGCGAAAATCGGCTTTTTTCGGGCGGTCACACTGTGATGATCCCTTAACAGAACGTAACAATAGGAGACCGCCTGCCTGAGGTAGAAGTGCCTAAGGTTTCAAATCAATATTAGTCCCAAGTTTTTAGTGAATTAAAGGAGTCTAGTCGATTTACTATTTTATTGTTAGAACCATATATGTACATTCGGTGCACTCGATGTCGGAAGAGGCAGTCATTGTCAGGAAATATTAAAAATCACCCTTGTTTAACACTGTGGCTTCCTTTGATCTCCAAAAGGATCTGGGATAATTCAAAAGGACCACCCCCGAAGGTAGAATGTACAGGGATGAAAAAGTTGAAAAAAAAAACAAATTTAACGTAGGGAAAGTCGTTTCTTGGCAAAGTGTCATATCGAGTTTACATCCTTCGTGATGCCGCCTATGAAACGTCATTTCACTAGTCCCGATGGGACAGAAATAAAAGATTTTGAGCGTATCGTCTACGAGCGTGTCTAAGAATAAAAAATTCAAAATAATCACGTTAACCCGATAAGAAATATTTATTTCAGATCCTCGACTTCCGACTCGAATTACAGTAAACTTGATTCCCCCTCGGTTTGCTTTGAGACGCTGCTAATACAAAATGTCGGTAGTACTAAAATATACGGTTCGAGTGGGAATCATGGATCTCACTAAATCTTTAAAATGGTCATTGCCACTTGAATCTACCCTCGTTTGATTTCAATTGAGATAGAATAGATTTATGCCTGAACCTTTCACTAGAGAACGGCGTGTCGGATCGATGCCTTACAATCCTGCTTTGTCTGTCTAGTATATTCCTAGCCACGACAATCCACCCAGCGTGCATATCATTGCCTTAGCATATTATCGATATACCCGACTCTGATACACCTTCGGTATAATTACGGAAGTGACACGTCAATTTTCATTTTTCCCTCTCGTACAGTCGCAGACGAATAAACGAAGCGACGTTTAAAAAATGTCGCATTGAATATTCTCGGTGTAATAATTGAACTCGATTCAGCTTATTTTTAATCAAATAATCCCGAGCTACGTCCGACGGTGACAGCACCGTTAAGAAGAAGGTGTCACCGACTTGGAGGAACGCTGATTCCTTTACAGTGGAAATAAAATTAGGATGAGGAAAATGGTGGGTCAGAACGAAGGCAGAGTTATTGGACTAACGGAATTGGCTTAAGCCGTCGTCTGAAGTCCAAGACGGGAGGTCGGAGGGGACGCTGTCTTTATCCTCTTAAAGAGACCGGAGAAGCTCTTACTATCGTAAATAAGGAAACGGTCACAAGGAAGAAGTCCTGCAGTCAGATCAAAAAATAACACTAACCAGGATGGTCTACAATTTCAAATGTTTTATTGTCATTGATTAAATAATATGCATAATAATATTTGACACGAGATCATCTGCCGTGTCGTCCACCATTAAGCTAGTGAATTTTATCGATCCATTGATTAAATTCAACGAGACTTAACCTCTATGATAATAGTAGACATGTAGATGCAGAAGTGCATTCTGGGATTATAAATAAATTCCATTAAGTTTACCACTCGTTAAATTCAGTGACGTTAAAATGCACTCGTTCTAACGAGGATTTACGAAAGGTGTGATTTTCCGATATCGACTCTCGTTCAATTTCAAATTGTACTTTGTTTAACTCGCACGGTACGATTTGCACCGAGTACATAACCTCTGCTTATGTCTGATCCGCGTTTATTTTACGGCCGTGTATACGGAGAGAATGGAAGCCCCGTGTACGTTCTTGGTGCTCGTTGTGAAGCTTCCTTAGCACATTTAACAGAGAACTAAAACTTTCACGTGATGGTACTTATGAAACACCTCATTGCGGATTCGAAAACGCAGGGTTTAAATTGCACACGCGCAACGAGTCGCTTATGCCTGGTGGGAACGAAATTTGTATAAGGAGATCGACGAGTAAATATATACTGTACCGTATGTACTACATGGTGCATAGTAATCATATAGGTCCGGGTATGGAAATAGATAAAACTTTTCATCCTCGTTGGATTAATATTTTGTTCTCATGTTATTCAGGAGCGATGCGTCGTAAAGTACGAATTTTCGTATTTCGAAGTGTGGGAAATAGCGAAATGCAGATAGAAAAATGGAGGAGGACGGTGAGAAATTGCGAAGGATTTTTCCATTTTTCATGAAATCCACCTGACGACGGTCCACCGACTTCGTGTTGACTGACATGCGCTAATGGAGATATCAGCCTTTTTTTTCGCCCTCGTTACGTTTCTTGCCTAACCCTCTGACACTATTCCCAGGCTAGTGAGATTTTTCTTGAAAAAAATTTTCTCCTGAAAACCATCCCTTCCGGCCAAGAGATGGACTGAAAAATTTTCGTTGTTTTTCCTATTGGAAAAGTTGTAGCGAAAGAGGTCGTATACTTCCGTTTCTGATATATCTATACGTATAGACATTCCTATCCAGATAAGGCGTACCACCTGAACATAGGTTTAACGTAGGAATCAAATAGGCGCGCTAACTTCAAGTGATGCGCTTGGGCTGAATAATCTGGATCGGAATAACGTGTATCGGAGTAATGGTTTATCTGGGCTCGTGTTGCGATACATACTTGACTTATAATACAGAACGCAGTTTCGGGTGAAAAGGGAAGATTGAGACGTTAAAAAGTATTCTTACGATCTTATGAATTTTTACTGTTTACGCTCGATATTTGCGTTTTACTGTTTCTCACTTACTCACTTGTTCGCGGAATGGGATTCATTCATTTTCACGCGATATTATGCAAATTGAAACTAATTTACGGTGAAGGTTAAAAACAGGGACCAGGGCTTCTTCCTGCTTCTTTCGCGACTATCTGTGAAGGATGTAAATATATTTATGAAATTCTCACCAGGACCTTGTTTCCCCTTCGTGACTTCAAAACTCCATGGGAAAATTAAATCATATTATACAGAATTACATTTTGCATCTTAATACATGATATAATGTGGTACTGCAGGTATATAGCATAGTCCTTCCACGAGTAAAATATTTTCTTTCTTTGACAGATTGCAAATACATACGCAATGAAGGTCCATCTTTGGTTGATACCATTCAAATGTTACTGTACATATTTTCAGTTCTCCAATCTTCTGTATACACCGTAAAATTTCTTTCTGCCGTTATCAAAGACGTTCTACCCTATCGGTAGAGCACGACGAGACTCTATGGATGTCTCATGGTTTTTTTGTCTCCTATGATAATTTTCACCGAGAAATTTGCACGAGAAATTATATAAAAAATTCTCTCCGTGTAGTTGCCACATTTTCTGGCACATTTACCGGCAACGCGTATAGAAATCACCCACTTTCTTGCGGCGTTCTGTAAATCGGTAGTAATCTTTGGGTAGAGGGATACAAAAGTTAATCAAGTTATTATTCGACGTTTACCCGGCAATCTGTCAATGTAAAATAAATTAATGAAAATTTCCGTTTGGATCCTTCGATCCTACCCGCTTTCGTAAATAAAGATCGATGGATCTTTGATGATTAATATTTGACTGTATAATTTTCTCTAGAATTCGTTAATGGCTCTGGTGAAAATTCCATGAATAATTTTATAATGAAATTTCATAAGTTAGTATCTAACGAAGGGAATAACTGGTGAGAGAGTAGATACAGTAGAGCGTGCACGTTCTAGGCCAGTCAGTAGTTCAATGTGAAGCAAGTGTACACGTACGGACTATACGTAGCTCGTTAGTTAAATATGAAGTGCAGAATGGCATACCCGACCTGTCTCAATGAAAATTTTTAGAATTCTTTCAAGGTCAAAACATGTTCAGGCAATTTAGTCCTTTTATAAATATTCATTAAAGCCTGTTATTGTACATTTAGGTTATGAGGTAAGAAATCCTTTTTTTGTATAATAATTTACGTTGCCAAGTGGCGTCGATTCGAATTCGAATACGTTTCTATGCTCGAACGAAACTACCCCTCTGCCTTGGGCTACACTCGCTCGATAGTAACGCAGGGGTTGTGTACGTACACAACGACTCCACGTTGCCTGTGCGTTAAAACTGTTTATTGTCTGCGAGGCCTTAGGCTACGAGTCATAATTCCATTTCCTTTGTAGCTCCGTAATAAGACGTCAGAGCAGGATATGAACGTAGATATTGAGTAACTTTAGAACGCTTAAAAGTCATTTGTGAAACTTGAAAGAATCTTTAGGCTTTCAATTCGATTTATTAAGAATATCGTCAGGATCGCTCTGCTCATTGCATTAATCGATTAGGGATACACAACATACAGTGGAGAAAACTTTTTCCCATTATAGAAAATTACATTATCTAAACGATATTAGATAAGGATTTAACGAAAGCCTAAACCGTCTCTACAGTCTGTTTCCGAATAAAGCCACAAAGCGATAAGGAAGAGTAAATAAAAAAACAATTGATACATTCTAAAATTCCCAAGGCGCCAATAGCGACGGGCTGACGAAACTCGAATGAAATATTCAAAAGGTCGAAGATCCTGAAATCATGGCTCTATTTTCGGTATAACAAAACTTCAAAATGGTGGATCAATCCATCTCGAAAGTGCCAATTATCCATCGGCACTGTGAGCTAAAGTATAGAATTCGGGTTTTATGACCTCCCCCTTAATAAAGGTACCTACTTTACCACTTGGGGAATTAAATAACTCAATCTCCAAGAACCAAAGCAATTACTTCTGATACAGGCAGCTTCGTATACATAGTTCGATTCTTACCTACCGCGACCTTCGATCTGATTGATTTTTCGCTTTGAAACACGGTCACGCCCTTCCTACAATTTCCAACCATTGCTTGTGCACGCTTCTGGATTTTTACAAGCGTCGCGGCGTCCCGTCACAATGTAACCGGCCTTTGTACGATTTCATATACATCATCACGCGTACCCACGTACGTTCTTATACATAAAAGACACGTACCATAAAGTACCGTGCTGACACGGAAATCCGTTATTGCAACGATAATTTGTGGGTAATATCACGCCCGAGGTAATTATTATCAGGTATAGCCATGACACGAGACTGCAATTAATTCAGGCAACTTCTTTGCCCTTATTGTGCTCTATGCTAACAGTAAGGAAAAAGGGTCTACGGTTCTTAAATCCCTCCGTTGAACTTGGCAGTATCCCTGGTCACCCTTGTCCTTTGCCTTTAAACAATTTTTTCCCTACTCTCCCTAACACCACCTGCGTCTCCTCTTTTGCTGTCTTGCCTGATAGCGCACAATGTGCTCAGCCCTCCTGTATAATATCTCGTATCGTCTTCGTCGCGTGATTAGTGCGAACGCAGGGCAGCCAGGAAGGTGCGCTGTCAGTTAAAGGCAATTTAGAAGCAAGGTCTCGGCGTAAGTGCATCGTCCTCCCAGCAGGAAGAATCTCATAATGGACCCATTAAGTCGCTGGCAATTTGACACTTTGTCACGTGTCTTGAACGTCGGGGAACTTTTTCTCAGTCGGACTGCTGGGCAATGTATGATGCGATGTAAATTATTTACGTGTTTTTCCTATGTGGCTCAAATAGACATTCTTTCGGGCATTTACTGAGAACTAGTGAAATTACGTTGTTGTTTCTGCTGTGTATCTGATTGCGATCTAGTGGTGTTCATGCTTGACAGTGTTCCTTTATTATGGGAGCGTGAAAGTAAGAAAGAAGTGAAAGTTTAAACTATAAAGAGAAAAATGTTTAATTTTCTTCATCTGTTTTTTGAAATTGCTCAGTGTCACGGAATGGCTCGTTTCTTGAATTCTTGAACACGCGCTACCAAGAACGGGTGGTCGATGAATGAGAGAAGACACAGCTATTTGTATGGTTTTTATGTTTTTCTTTTCTATGTGCTCTTTCACGGTGGGAAAATACTTAACGGCCTACAGGGTACAGAAGGGATGTGTCGTTTGCTTTATTTTCTTTTATCTCGGCATGTAAAGTCTACGAACAATGCTGGAAAATTGTACTTCCATCCCTCGTCCCGTGGGATAATTGAAGGAGAGCATAATCTCCATAACGATTTTGCTGTCAGTTGGGGCTGCTGGAATTCTGTCTGTCAAAGAGCCGATAGACACTGATGTGATCAATAAATCTGATCACTCGATATTCGTGTGAAGAATTTTTACATTTATTTCTATGACTTAAATATAGGTACGCAATAATGTTGGAAAAACTGTTAAAAATATTCTTGAGCGTGTATATAAACAATGACCCTGTCTAAATTACCTTATGAAAAAAATGCATAAAATTTCGTCAAACTTATTAACGAGCAGTTTGCGTAGCATTATAATTATTATTACACAAGGAGTTATTAATCGTCAAAGTGACGTCAAAGATACGAGATCTATCAGTACCCACCAGTCTGACCCTTTCCCAGGGTCTTCTCCAGTCGATAGGGCCCAACGTACTGGTGGGTCTCCTGGGTATTGGACCCAACAGGACTCTCCTTGCCCTGCATCGCCGAATGACGTTTATATATTTATATATATCCAGGAGGAATCCCGAAGATGAAAACCTCCGCTTCAAATCTTCTCCCTCACTTTCATTTTCCACGCCGTAACAATCAAACACCGTAATAACGCGTCACATTTTATTTTTCATTATATTCTTTGGTATCTTCAAAGATGGAACAAACAGAACCCTTTGACATAATATTTCACCACATGACAAGACCCGTCGTCGTCGGCGTTTCTCTTCGATCAGCCGAACGTGCTCGACCGTTAACTGCGACGTTAGAACCGATCGTAAAATCTTATCCGATAGAAGAAGAATGGACTAAAACAAAACACCCACGTCACTTTATCACTTTTTAAAGCGATCCTTTCTTTTGACGCAGTGCCTTTTCTTGATTTTCATGTTGAGCTCCACGTATATCTCGCGGGGTTCTTAGCCCAACGAAGATACGTAATTTATTCGGCTCGATGTGACGTCGGCCTCAAGAAAATTTCGTCACGAGCTCATATGTACTTTAATTTCTTTGTCACGCACTGTCGCGCTCCCGTTATTAGTATCGTTGTTACACAGCACTGCGAGCACCTTCGCCGGGACGACTTGTCGAGAGCCCCACGTTGGGCGCCATTGTCAAACGTGAATTCGTACGATACGAACGTGTTTCTCGCGGTAGTAACGATAATTTTTTTTCCTTCGCGTTTACGGGCTCGCACACGAAAACTCTACGCGATTTCTCTCAGTAAACACGAGCTCCACGCCATTTTCATCGTTTGTCAATTTATTTCTATGGGGCTCGCGTACGCGGACGACAGAGCTGACGACGGAGCACGGCGCTCCCAGTTCGATTATGTGGTCGACGAGGTGCGCGCGCATCCACCCCTGCTATACTATCATCCCCCAAGCTACCGGCTTTGATACGCTAGGAAGCCAGGGTTAAGGGTGGTAAATGTGAAATGTGGTTCGAGTCCGTGCCTGATAAGGGTGGTTTTGGTGGTTCGTGTCCGTACTGAACTACACCGTCTCCTGTATATACATATGTATATATGTATATACGTAGTGTCTAATTCGGCCACAAGCCATTCCATCTGTTATACGATTGTATTCTGTAGGGACGTTCGGAAAGTCAGACGAATAAGAAAAATTAAATGTTTTACAATTCTTTGGTTTGAAGTACATATATAAAGAATAGTTTGGTCGGGAAGAGACAGGAGAATTCTCAAGAGGCCTTCAAAGCATAGCTAGTATGTTTTATCGTTAACAACGCTGCCCTCTCTCTTGATCTCGCTGGAAGTCTAGGTTAGGTTTTGTCGAGAATCTTTACGAGGGTCGGTGCTTTTAATGTCTTCTTGAATAATTAGCCGTTATAAGGACGCTTTTGCACTAGACCTTTAACTGATTTCGTGACTTGGATCCCTCCGCAACAGCGACTGAAATTCATAAAAAGGGTTCTAACTCAGCTTGGTACGCGGATTCAAGACATACAGTGAAGACACTGGATAAACGAAAAACGTTACGTTCAGATCTCACAATTTTTGTTCTCGAAGTTTCGCAGAGAATTTCAAGTCGCACCGAGTTGGGAAAATCACTAGTTACGGTTTTTCTCACCGTCCAATCGATTAATCTTACAATACAAACGACACTCGGAGGTAATTCTTCGTCAGCAGGTCAAGATGTCAGAAGTGCTGGTGCTGCTGCTGGTTTCTCTCTATAAGTAAAGCTTTGACGAGCTTCTCTACACACTATTAAGGGGAATCCACAGCGGTGCAACAATGCTGTTAATCAAGCTTCGTACATTCATAGACAAAGAAGCCCACGAGAGAAAGAGAGATATAGAGTAGAAACAAGGCTGCTTTATTTCTTATGTTTACAAACAGAAAATTTTAACTTTGACAATGCATTTGAAGTGTCCCTTTTCTCCTCTTGCGTATACCGGTCACTATACACTATTTTAACATTTTACAAGTTTTTGGATAAAATCTCCGAAAAAAACTGAATTTTGCTACTAAAAAAATATTTTGCTCAATCGAAAAAATAACACAAGACATACTTCCTACAATGACTTTCTTGGACTACGTGGTGATGTCACTCATGAGACACGTATATGTAAGTATTTATTTAAGGAGATCTAACATATCACTAGCGAATATTGGTTTAGTGAAATGACGTGTGCAATAACCGAGATACCACCGACCCTCCAATACGAGTTGAAATCATACCCCTGAATAACCCCTTACATTTGCTATGCGAATCGGCCAACCCCAGGACGCCTGTCATTCCCTAAAGATCGACCACGCTTCGTCACGCCTGTCAAGAGAAATGTGTCAGAGTCGCGAGGAATAGCACAGGTCCCAAGGCGAGAGGTAAGACAAAAGATTACACAGCAGTTTACTTTTTTGTGAATGGGGTAAAAGGACTTTGGCATCATTTCCTTAAGAGTCTACGTACCTGGGTAGTTTTATTACGTATGAATATAAAATCAGATTTTCTTAGGAATATCTAGTCCTTACGTAGTGTACTGCTGTATTTAATTGACTTCTAGTATATAGTATATATACGTATACAGTACGGCATACGGTATTTACTATTGATAGGAAGGACCTGTTCAACTATGAACTCGCATATCCATTGAAAAACTCTGGATAGAATTAGTCTCCCTTTCACGAATATTCACGAAATGGGAAATCCAGAGATAATTGAGAATGCGACTGAAAATCTGTGCCAATGAATTTTACATGAATATTCGTGAACGTAGAACCCGCCTCTTATGCATACATAGTTATCTTGGTCCATAACATGCTAATGTGCAATTTTCCAAAGCTTTTAACATTTAATGTGGTTTCACAGACATTGTCGAGATTTGAAAATAAACTTCCTCTCGGGGCATTTCTATCTCTTTATGGGATATTCTTTCTCTGTCTCTGTATATATCAATCTACATAACAGACCCTCTCTTTTACTTTGACTACAGTACCTCCGTTTCACGCTCTTAATACGCGATGCAACGTATCAAATTGCATAATAGAACTTATTTAACGATACACGACACCAGCTTTCATGCATAATAGTAAGTGGTATTTGAATTTGACACGTTGTGAATGTTGTGAAGGGACGGTAGAGGGTAGACAATATGTATTATTCACACTAAAATCAGACTGAAGTCAATCAGGAGGGGCGTCAAGGATAGATGTTAACTATTCATTGTATTCATTAGTAAGATGTCGGAGATTATTTTCGTCGGAATTTTGAACAAGTTTCTGCCACCTAATGGGTGATGTTCCAGTAACGGTGATAAAGTTATCACAAACGGCAGTTTCCAAGTTTCGAATACATCCTACCTTTTTCGTGATAATATCTTAATAACCGGTGCGTGACCTCCACCGCGATATATTGTAACAAGTGCTCGAACCGTGCGTTCAATAATGTTCAACTTGACCTGCAAATCTGTTTCCATATATATGGATTCAACTAGAGCTTTGACATTTCATCCATAAAACAAATCTGGAACTGTTATTACGAAGGCTTAGCGAACAGCTGAAAGTATTTGATACAGGTTAAGATAGACGAAGACCATTTTTCCACTAGTTCTCTACTAGATAACACGTAATACTGACTTAACTCAAGTACATTATTATGATAATTAAGGTGTGTTTAGATTTTCCGATCTCACGAATATTTCTCATAGGACTATTAGGCTAGGTACGTTAAAAACTTTTAGGAGTTTAAACGATCACTTGACTAGCCTCCGAAGAGAAATCGCAGCTGGACTCTCGGTCGGTAATGAAGGAATAACTCTTGTGGTAACAGTCATTGAGATACAGTGAAAATTTGCCCTCTATAAAGCAGGATATTAGATTCTATTTCTCCCCATGGATATATGTATACGTGTCAATGAGCGTTAGATATTCGTTGCCTTTAGGACAGTAACTGTAAAGACACCCGGTAGAGGGGTGCGAATGCAATATAGACACTGAGAGAGGGACAGCAGTTGGTGGTATAAGGATTGGGGTAGGGGAAAAGAATCGATATATAGAAGCAGAAAGGAACACAGGAAGAGTCTGACACGGGAAAGCTCCTAGGGGAGTCTTCTTACGGAACCGTATAGCTCCTTCAATATCTCATGGACTACTCTTCCCTACTCACTTTCTCCTATCCGCGTAAAATTCGACCTAACAATCCTCTTCAAGCTGTTCTACTAGCATCGGACTCGAGTTTCTATGTAGCTGCAGCTTTAGTCGTATATAGCTGCTTTACACGCGAAGTGTCTGATTTTATTCTGGACTTCTGTTTCAGTCCCTACATCTTCTTAGCGTTCGCTTTGAACTTATTAGTTTTATAGATAAGGCGAAATCACATAATACGTTTAATATAATTGAGGATATAAAAATCACGAAGACGAGATAAAATAATTTATTTTTATTTTTTTACGACCAACTTGAATTGATTATTTGCATTTTTTCCCCCTTTTGTCATTTTCTCTATTGAACTCTGCATGACGCGAGCGAAAGGGTAGCTGATTTAAAGAAATTGTCGATTTCAAGGTAAAATTGGACCAATTGAATTTTATGTGAGTCTATACAGCTAGTCTTGAGGGAGGAGCCTGGAACAAGGGCGGAAAACAAATTGGGAAAACAGTAGGGCGCCCGAGGCCTTCTACGGCAGATCGAACAAATAACCGAAACCGCATGCAAACAGCCGCGTACCCTTCAACGTGCAGGAGGTATACGGGATAGCTCGA